AGCTTCACCCTCACTCGGGACTCACCCGATTGCCAGAAGCAGCAAAGAAACTTCAAACACAGAGAGACATAGGTAGGGGGGGCAGAAATAGGAATAACACCTTCCCCCAGCTACTCCCAGGCCACTGCAGGAGTCACCAGCCCATCAGAAACCCACCTCCCCAAGCCCCGAGGGGCACTGAGGCCCAAAGGCAGGTGGGGAAACCCCAGTTATGGAGTCAGAAGGAGGAGAGGCCTGTCCAGACCCTCCCAGGACAGCCTCAGCCCTCGTTCCAGGTGTGAAACCCACCAAAATGGGCCAAGAGAAGCAGCTCTCTGAAGCACCTTTGGGCTGGAGGGGGGTGTCACTTCCTAGGAGCATGAGAATCATGACGGGATGCAGGAGAACAGCATTTTGGGACTGTACAGGATGTTCAGGGGATGGGGTATTTAAGGAAGGAAGGAAAAAGCATGGAAAATGAGGGATCTAGGTGATCTGAGAAAGAAAAAACATTGGAAAACAGAGGGATGAAAGGCTGCAAAGGGCTGGTTGCATGTACAGAGCTGGCTGGTCAGCACACTGGTCCGCCCGTGCCCCACACCCCATCAGCACAGGCTGTCCCATCTTCAGCTTAAACCCCATTTCCATCTTCCTGGGCAAGTGGCTCTATTCCAGATGTACAGTGCGTGTACGGGGGTCTGAGTGCCAGCAGCTGGACTGGGACCACCGGTTGTCACAGGGTGCAAGTGCAGGTGCGCACGTGAACGTGCCATTCGCAGCAAACGGTGGGCCAGACGAGTCGGGGGGATGTGGCCTGGAAGCAAGGAGGGCTAGCTAAAGAAAAGCCCCTGGGATGACTGGAGGGACAAGGCAGTCCTGCCTGACTGCTGGAGAAGGGTGGCTAACGGACTCACACCCCTCACCCCTGCTGATGGCCCAGTCACAGCTTGCAGCACCACCTGCAGTGCTGTAATAAACACTTACAAGAGCTCTTGGCTGTCCTGGATCCAACCCAGATGTCAAGGAGTCAGCCTCCAGAAGGACCCAGACAACAGACATTTGCAGATGAGCGCATCAGTCCCTTCTCAAGTCCAGGTAACAAGACACAGGACAAGTGTCACTTGGCAGACAGACACTTCTGGGTGTTCAGGGCATGAAAGCTACAAAGCTCGGGAGAAATTCAGGTACTGGTCTGTGACGGCATTACAGAAAACCTAAAACCTGGCCAAGAAGCTTTCAACCTCCCTACCACCTTTTAGTGGAAGTGAGCCTTGAAAAAAATCTGTCGGTGCTGGCATTTTGCACAGGCACGATCCAAACCAGGTTACACGTGACAAGTGGATTGTGAGAGAAGCAGAGATCTAGACTCAGTTAAAAGCCCTCATAGGCCCCTGTATCTGTGCTCCTAAAGCTCTCTAAACCGTTGCCACATCTTGGCTGTGTAAGGGTCTAACAGCATAGGAAAATTAGGAATAATAAATTTTTAATAAACAATTGCTGATTCCCAGCCCTCAACAGCTATGCAGCCACGTACCAGGGGCTGGGAAGCACAGGGAACCTTCTTGGAGAGCGAGCCATCAGTAGCATCACATGCGATCAAAGAAGAATAAGGCTTCTCCCAAAACCTAACACCCTCCTCATCCCCTTCAGACATGGTCCTGGGATGCTTGGGGCCAGGACCAGTGCCACTCATGTGCACACCCATCAGCAGCATCTGGGTGTGTAAGAGCTGAGCACAGCTGGACGTGCTGCGCCAGGGACCGTGATTTAAGTGATATGGTCCCTTGGTCCCAGAGCTTGCACCTGGACAGAGTGGATGCACTGTCTGACTAATGCCTTCTGGCTCTAAGTCTATTCTGATCATCTTCATTAACCTTCAGAGACGCCTTGCAAACAGAGGCAGAGGGTTTCCAACCACTCCAAGTATTTGAGATCAACACTGAAAGGTCTCCCTAAGCAATAAATCACAGCTTAGCCACAGAACTGAGCTCAACACAGACATGAGCTGCTAAAACAACCCATCCCGTGTTCAGGTGCTGCCTCTGGCCACAGCAAGACTTTTCCCTGGTCTGCCAGCACAGAATATTTTAGTAATCAAGAATATTCAGAACTTCCCGCAAAGTCAAAATCTGTCACAGCTAAATCTTCAGAGCTTTTGTCAGCTACAGCCCCAAAGCTGAGAAACTGAGAAGCTACTGGAGAGCAGCATGGGGTGAAGGCTGAGACAAGGCACACAGCACTGTACTGAAATGAAATGCCCTGTTCTCTCTGTATCCTGGGCTTGCACACTGCAAAAATAAGCATCCAGAGATGTCCATGACTGCTTGCGAGGGAGCCCTGAAATGCTCTATGGCACATGCCTTCCCCTAGGGATGTTCTTGCAGTGATCAGTACCTTAGGAGTTCTCAGCATTTCAAAAAGGGATCATTAGTACCATTTTCCTCAAACCAAAATGAGGGTTGCTCCTCCTCTCCCCCAGCCTGCGGGCTGCGTTTGGAGAGCAGCCCAGCCCAGCAGCCTGCAGCACAGGGTGAGCTGCGAAGCAGGCTCAGGCTGGGCACGGCACAGCACGCTGCAGCAAAAGCCAAAGGGACCATTAGGACAAAAAGCGCGTGGCTCAGGCACAAGTTTCCAACAGTGACTTAGCTCAAAAGACACTCGCTCCTGTCTGCCAAGACGGGTCTAGCCTGGGGGATTTCAGTTGAGAAGCTGGCCTGAATCCAGTCTTAAAGGGAAGATTTCTCCCAGAGAACATATACCACTAAGTGGTGGCTGACTAAGAAACCACTTAGGCCCCGTGTTCTGTTCCTCCCCCAAAAATAGGACACTAAGATGGAGAGGACAGTAGTCCTGTAGCGGAGTTGTGAAGGAAACATGACACAGGTATTCATGGAGTATACCCAACAGCATCAGGAAAAAAGGCAAAACAGAGGTTAGAGAATGGACTGGCAAGTCAAGAAACCAAGAACGTATGTGAGGTTCAAGAAGGAACACAGGTAACAGAGGCTGGAGATGGCAGTGCTGGAACACTGGAACAGCAACACAGCTCAGCATCCTCAGAGTAGCCCTTGTCCGAGGGCAGCAGAAAGCCTGTAAAGATCATACAGCATCACCCCCCCCTCAAGAATCCCAGAGAGCTGGTGAGGCCCCAGCAGACCACGTCCCTTTGTCCTTCTGGTCACCACGAGTGATTCCAGCTAGACTGCTTGGATACACATCTTGGATCGTGCAGGTATGACAGAGCGAACGCAAATGAGCATGTAAGATCTACGGAGCAATGATAACGAGGGGAATCAGCTTCGTTTGAAATAAAAACCCATTTTTCCTTTCTCTCTGGTTTCGCAGCGGGTTCTGCTGAGCTCCTGCAGTCACAGAGCAGCTGCACTGATGGGCTTTAACCCCGCCGCGGCGCCGAGCTACGGGGCAGCGCAGCTCACTTACCTCGGGACAGGTGCCCTGAGCCTGCTCTGCTGTAGCGATGAAATTCGTCACCAGGAAAAGCACGTTTTCTCCCTAGGAAACAAGAAGACCCGTTCAGCAGGGGATGTACAACAGGAGTCACCTTCCGCAGCAGCAGAGCAAACGGTTTTTGGCCTGTTTCGGCTTGGGGACGCACAACGCGAACGCCGCTTCTCCTTTCCCACAGGGCTTCCCGCCACTTTCCGTCAACCGCCCCCCCCCCCCCCCCCCGGGGGGCTGGGCCCCGGCAGCGCGGGCCCGGCCGTACCTGGGGGCCCTGACCGTAGTCCGCCGCGTCCCACAGCCGCCGGCCCGCGCCCCCCGCCTCGGCGACCGCCGCCCCCTTCATCTTGGTGACGACGGCGGCGCGGGGGGCAGGGTCGGTGTCCTGGTAGCCCTTCCGCACCAGCAGCACCCACCTGCGGAGGGGCGGGGGGGGCGCTGAGGGCACCTCCGGCCGCCGCACCGCCCGCGGGAGGCCCGGGCCCGGCGGGAGGGGACCGCCCTACCCCAGCAGGTAAGCCAGCACGCCGAGCTGCAGCAGGCGGTGCAGCAGCCCGACCCGCCGGTTCCGCGTCAGCGCGAACTTCGCCGTCTTGTAGTCGAGCAGCCCGCCGGGCCGCACCCCGCCCGCCATGGCGGCCGCCGCGGCGCTGCGGGACCCGGCCCTGCCCGCGCGTCCCGCCGCCGCCCGGACACGCCCCCGCCGCCCCGCCCCGCCCCCCACAGCCAAGCCACGCCCCCCACAGCCAAGCACCGCCCCCCACGGCCAAGCCACGCCCCTCACAGCACAGCACCGCCCCCCCACGGCCAAGCCACGCCCCTCACAGCCCAGCACCGCCCCCCACAGCCAAGCCACGCCCCTCACAGCACAGCACCGCCCCCCACAGCCAAGCCACGCCCCTCACAGCACAGCACCGCCCCCCCACGGCCAAGCCACGCCCCTCACAGCCCAGCACCGCCCCCCACGGCCAAGCCACGCCCCTCACAGCACAGCACCGCCCCCCACAGCCAAGCCACGCCCCTCACAGCACAGCACCGCCCCCCCACGGCCAAGCCACGCCCCTCACAGCACAGCACCCCCCCCCACGGCCAAGCCACGCCCCTCACAGCACAGCACCGCCCCCCACAGCCAAGCCACGCCCCTCACAGCACAGCACCGGCTCCCGCAGCCAAGCCACGCCCCTCACAGCACAGCACCGCCCTCCACGGCCAAGCCACGCCCCTCACAGCACAGCACCGCCCCCCACAGCCAAGCCACGCCCCTCACAGCCCAGCACCGCCCCCCACGGCCAAGCCACGCCCCTCACAGCACAGCACCGGCTCTCGCAGCCAAGCCACGCCCCTCACAGCACAGCACCGCCCCCCACGGCCAAGCCACGCCCCTCACAGCCCAGCACCGCCCCCCACAGCCAAGCCACGCCCCTCACAGCCCAGCACCGCCTCCCGCATCCAAGCCACGCCCCTCACAGCCCAGCACCGCCTCTCTCCGCCCTGCACCGCCCCTCACCGCTCAGCCACGCCCCTCGCCGCGTGGCCACGCCCCTCGCCGCCCAGCCACACCACGCCCCGTCGCCACGGCAACAGCGCGGCGGGCCCGGGCCGGGGATGGCGGCGCGCGGCCGCGGGGGCCCCGCGGGTGCGGCGTGAGGGGCCCCGCGGGCTGTGGCGTGAGGGGCCCCGCGGGCTGTGGCGTGAGGGGCCCCGCGGGCTGTGGCTGGCTCCGGCCCCGGCCTGGTGTCCCCGGGGTGGGGCCAGGGACACGCCGGGCTTGTCCCGCCGGGCCTGGGGGGGGCAGCTGCCTGGCCTGTCCCGGGCCCCAGGCGGTGTCGCAGCAGCAACAGCGCGGCGGGCACTGGGGCTTCGCGGGAGCGCCCGGTTAAATTCTCCCCGATTCTCTCTCCCCGCAGGCGACGAGGACGGCGGCGGCCTGGCGGAGGAGAGCCGGTACCTGGCTGCCTGCCGGGCCTGCGGCGTGAGCCCGGCCTCCAGCCTCCTGCGGCGCCGGCCGGGCCCCGCGCTTCGCCTGCGGCACCGTGGCCTGGGCCCGCGGGTGAGGGACGGCAGCGCCAGCCCCCCCCGGGGGACACCCGGCGTGGGGCCCTGGGCCATGGGGGGGGCTCGTAGGACCCGCCAGCCGGCCGGGACTGCCCCCTCTGGCACCCCGCCGATTCGTGTAGCTGTGCTGCCTCGCCAGAACCAGAAACCACTGTCAACACGCCAGCCTGGCGACTGCCGGCTTTGTCTTTCCCACTGGTGTAACTCCTCTGGCTACCACAGCAACCCAAGTTTTATGGCAAGGGCATGTGCGGGGGCCCTTTTTTGCCTGCCTTGCAAGTACCAGTTAGGGGCCAGCATTATGGCACCTGAGGTGGGAATTCAGCAGCAGGTTGTTCTGCGGGGCTCGGGAGCAGGGGTTGTCGCCTTCTCTGGATGCGGGAGGGGAGGTGGGAGTATGAGATGTGGAGGTGTCATTACTCCTCTTTCCCCCTTGAGAATTTTTCCTGAGAGTGTGTTGCCTCCCGTGGGGTCCTCCATATTTTTAATATCAGTATTTTTAGGAAGAAATTCTAAATCTTTTGTACATTCACACATTGGTTCGTGTCAGGTAGTCCCACCCATGAAAGCTGCTTGCACTGGGCATGGCATTTTGGAAATGTGTACTTTGGACCATGAAAAGGGTGCAGCCTTTCATACCAATTTTTGGTGATAAACCTTTTTGTTCTGTTATTTTCTCTGGAATAGTGCTCTGAGGTCCATTCCAGTTCATTTTCCTGTGTCTGACATCCAAGTCTGGAGAAAATAATTTGATTTGGCAGTACCTGTTCAGTAATCACAAAATCACTGCCATCCTCCTGTTTAATTGTAAATATTTTTGAAATTAAGTACTCCCACTGACAGAGATCAGGGCACTGGCGCAATATAGGCTTCTTAAATGTTGAGGTCAGGATTCAGAGCAGCCATAATCTAAAAGGGGGGCTTACTATGGCTGTACTCACGGACATGACAGGTAGAAGTAATGTCCAAAGAGGCACATTGTCAGGCACAGTGGGCCAGAACATTTTCCTCTGCACCATGAATATTGACAGGAGAAGTATTTTCCATCATTTTTATGGAAGGAGAAATTAATTCTTTAATAACAGAAACAAACCAAAGTATCTTAAATCGTATTTAATGTTTGCTTTTTCAGCCTAGCTTTAAATGATTTTGTAAGGGGGAATCTTTTTGCATGATTCTGCTGATGGCTTTGTGAAATCCCCCTGCATCCTACCAGACTAAGAGGAGCTGAAACAGAAACTCAGGAGCTTTGTGAACCCAATGAAACCGTAAATGACTGGTTTAGGGCTTTTTTGTTGCAGGGTGCCAAGGCGCTAGCTCTTTCCTTGATGGTCGATACTTCTATCCTCACATTAGACCTGAGTGACAACTGGCTGCAGGGAGAAGGGGCGGCTGCAATTGCAGAGATGCTGAAAGAAAACTGCTACATTTCAGGTTTGTATTCTTCCATCTGCTGTTCTCTGGTAGATGCATTGCTTTAGAGGAGGAAGTTGTGTTGGCTTCTTTGTGGATTTAACCAGTCCTGCTGTCACAGTGACTGTGTGAAAAGGGTACCAGAACTGGGGTCCTGGTTGAGTGTTTAAAACTGCTGCTTCATCAACTTTCTCCACCTGTTTTCATAGCATTTACTTTTGTAAAGTTTGGACACCACTAACTGGAGTCAGCTCTGTGAAGCTGCTGGAAAGCCAGGAGAAAGGGTGGATTTCTGCTTTGATTGTGGATCAGAAACATCCACCTGAAACTTAGACTGTTCAGAGGATGTGGTTAATAATGGTGTTGTGGTTTAACCCCAACTGGCAACTAAGCACCACAGAGCTGCTTGCTCACACACACACCCCCCTCCAGCAGGATCGAGGGGAAGAGAATTGGAAGGGTAAAAGTGAGAAAACTTGTGGGTTGAAGAACAGTTTAATAATTGAAATAATTATAATAATAATTTTTTAAAAATTTAATGAGAAGGAAAATAAGAGAGAAATAAAACCCAAGAAAGACAAGGGATGCAAATGGAAAACAATTGCTCACCACCAACTGACCGATGCCCAGCCAGTCCCCAAGCAGCAGCCCTCAGCCAGCTTTCCCCCCGGTTTTATTGCTGAGCGTGATGTCCTGTGGTCTGGAATATCCCTGGGCTCAGTGGGGGTCAGCCATCCCAGCCTCGTCCCCTCCCAGCTCCTTGTGCACCCCCAGCCTACTCGCTGGTGGGGTGGGGTGAGGAGCAGAAGGGGCCTTGACGCTGTGTAAGCACTGCTCAGCAGTAACGAAAACATCCCTGTGTTATCCAACACTCAACACAAATCCAAAACATGGCCCCACGCAAGCTGCTGTGGAGAAAATGAACTCTACCCCAGCCAGAACTAGCACAATTGGTTAAGGCTTTGTAAGTTGAATTTGCACGATTGGTGTCTGAGAAAATGGGGCTTCTAAATCAGGACAGGTGGAAGAGAATCCCAGCTAGAGTGAATCTGCAAGTGTCTGCTCCAGCAGCAGCACACATCAGCTCTTCCTAGGGACATCTCATGCTCACGTCAGGGAGGAGAAGCAGAGTGGCTCTTAATGAACTGAAGTCTCAGGCAGTGTTGTGTCTAGAGATCATGGTATTAGTCCCTGCTTTTCCAGGGTCGATATTCCTGCCTTTCATAATTTAATGAGCAACTCCCAGTTATACGTGGACAGGTTATCAGGGTTGTGGGTTACACGTGGCAGGGTCCTGCGCTGGCTCTGTAGAGCTGAGGTGCAGTGAAGGCAGTTTGGTGGGATGCACCTGGTTGTGCCAGGACATACCCAGAAGCACTAACAAGCCCTGCCAAACCCGAGGTTGTTACGTGTAGAGACAGCCTGAGAGTCCCCGGGCTGTCCTTCAGCGTGAGGAGCGCAGAGCAGAGACCTGGGATGGGTCTGTGTGGAGCCCCTGTCATATCTCTGTGTCACATTTTCCAGTACTTGCATTAACCTCCTGTTTCAGTGTCTGAATCTCCAGGCCCCTGGTACAATACAGGCAGAACTTCACTATAAGTCGTGCTGGTTGCTTCACTGAAGCATATATTTTATTCACAAAGAACAAGGTCAGTTTAGACAGCTGAGGACACAACTGCCATATAACTAAGGCAACCCTCATCTGCTTTGTCAGGAAGTCATCATGGATGAAGGGGACAGGTTCTATGCTATGTAATCCCTGTTAACATGAGATTTCCTTATTTTTGTGGTTGGATTCAGTATTAGAGGTTTAGGGTTCTATTACTTCGGTACTAGGAAAATTTGTTCTGTATGTGGGTGGGCAGAGAAGTTCATGCTTTCTTATTTGGGTCTCGGTCTCTTCACATCCATTCGTGCTGTTACATTTCGCTTCGCTGTCTCTCTCAGCCTACACTCCTTTTTCCAAGCCATGATGAGGAACCAAGAAACCCGCTCTGACATTGCTGAGCGTAGGTTGTGCCTGGAGTGGGAAGCGCAGATGTACAAGGAGCACTTTTGTCTCATGTCTCATATTCATGTGGCAAAACTTGAATGAGCCTATCTTAGGGACAGGCTGTGAATTCAAAAAGGAAGTTTTGCTGTTCCTACTAAAATCCTGTGTTAGACCAGGTTCAGCATTCTTATTTTCCAAGTCTGGCACTGCTGCTGCCATTGCAGCGTGGAGGTCAGACGCCTCCCTGGCATCTCATATGGCATGTCTTGATCTGATAATGTGTTTTCTTTCCCCAGATGTTGACTTATCTGACAACAAATTAGGCGTTGAAGGAGCTAAGGCCTTGTCCGCTATGCTTCTAGAAAATACTACAGTTGTGTCCCTCCAGCTCTCAGGAAATGAATTTGACGATCACGCAGCAAAGTATTTAGCGGATGCCATCACAGCAAACAGCAAAGTGGAAATTCTGGATCTGAGTTACAACATGTTTGGTGACAAAGGAGGTAAAGTGCTGTCTGTGCAGCTTGCACAGAGAGGGGTGCTGTGGCAATTAGCGATGCAGCTTAATGAGTTGCTTGGCAGCCTTGGACCTTTGGGGAGCAGAGCTGGTTAATATTTTCAGTTTCTTGAAAGGTATTTTTGGATTTTTTGTAGGCAAAACCAGTGTAAATCTATCATCATTCATTCATCTTCATTCTCTGCCCTTTCTTTGGGCATTGCAAGCTTTACCTCTTCTGTTTCTTTCCCTGTTCTTCCTAGTTCCCAAGTTCTGATGATCTTCCTTTCACGTGCCGTTTTTCTCAATCATTATTTCAGCTTTCACAGGTATGTAAAATGCTTTAATAAGAGCAGAACACAGCAGAATGGAGTTTGCCAACAGTCCTGTCTAGCTCCCTGTCACTGAGAGGTGATTGCAGGTGCCAAGGGGAGGGTGTGAGAGTGCAACAAGCAGATGGTTGTGCTATCCCTGACACTCTGCCACCCTCGATAGCTTTTGGAGATTTCCTTTGCTAGTGACTTTGGCTATTTTTCTTGTTGGTCTCAACCTTGTTAATGAATATTGCTTTTTCTCCTTGACTCCTGATTTTTAAGCGCGCTGTTATTTGTTACGTCCTTGCATTCACAGTGCTCCTGTGATGCTGTGTGATGTGATGAAACCAGTTACTGCTCTCAGGGCCTTAATCTGTACTGGTTTCACCAGGCTCACTTGTGCTGGGCTGAACTCCCCCATCCTTTCTTCCTGACTGTCCACTTCTACAGAACACTCCTCACGATGTCATTGCTAATAACCTTTATGCTCATCTCCTTTCTGCACCTTACTGGCATTTGCTTCATATTCTCCATATGTGGCTGTCCTTGGGCAACTCCAGCCATGTGTTCTGCTACTATCTCCAGGATGAAGATTCACAGATCTCCCTACCCCTGGTCTCACCCTACAGCAGTGATCCAAACCCCTCTACTTCAACACTCTCTGATGGGTACACACTCAAAAAGGGAGATACTGATTTTTTTCTCTCCCATGCCATGTCCCAAGCCATCTGTCGGATCAGCATTCTCCCAGGGTTGTGTCTTTCATGAAAAATTCACCATCTTCTCTCCATCCACTGCTTTACAACCGTTAATCATCACACATCTCTCCTGCTATAGCCTCCTCCTTGAATATCCTCCATGTCTTCAGTAGGTTTCTCTGGCTCACAGAGAGGAAACAGCTATAATCCTCATCTCTTCTGGCCACCAGGAACACACCAGCCATTCACTTGGTGCCTTCCCAGTTCTGTTTCACTTTTTACCTTGTTTTTACTTTTGAAGGCTGCAGTGGCTGCTTTTCTCTCCACCCCTATCCTGCTTACCTCCTGCTGCCTTTACAGTCAAACAGCTCGTCCTGGTCTTCTGGTCTTCAAGCATGGCAATGGCTTCCTTTTCTTCTGGACTGGTTGACAACCTTATTTCTTTCCCGCCCCACTGGAAACTTGCAGAGCACTCGCTGAGGAAACCTATTCAGATTTTATGTCACAGGAGCTCCGGGCAGGGTTAAAGAAAGAGCAGAATTGGCTTCTCTGCCAGCAGAAGGAGCTGGCTTTGGTTGGCTGGAGGCCAGAGCTGGGGAAGGGTGAGAGGCTGTGGGAAGCAACCTGCTTGCTCAGTGTCACCTTTCAGACTGGCATCAGGCTGAAGAGTGAGCCTGTGCAGTCAGGTCTCCACGCATGAGCAACAGACCCTGGCTTTGTGGCATGCTGATTGGATTTTCTCTCTCTCCTTGCTACGTTTGCAACCTGTGGTCAGAGAACACATATGCTTTATTGTCTGGCGGCTCCTGCTTTGTGTTTATAGTAAACAAGGTATAAAAGAAAATAATATGTTGTACTTTTAATTGCCTGCCTAGAGGTAATACAGACAATTGCAGCAAAATACCTAAACTAACCCAAGCTTCCTTTTAACTCTTAAACTGTTTGCTTCATGTGTTTTTTCTTAGCTGAAATTCTTGGAATGGCAATAGCAGAAAACGTTGGATTAAAGGAATTTAAAATCAGCTGGAACCATTTCCATAGCCATGGGGCAGCTGCGTTGGCCAAAGGCTTGGGGGTAGGAACGGTTTTTACTCCTGTGTTTAAATTCTGAGAACTAGGATGGAGCTTTATATGCTTAAACAAGTGTGAATGCCACGATGTGCTGTTTGCCTTGTGCCCTTACTTGTCCAACAGCCATCTATGATTTGTGATCATACAGACCTTGGAACTAAAAGAGTAAAATCATCCATTGTCTATTGATATATTGCATATGTTTAAATGTCTCTATTTCTACTTCTTTCCCATTTTAGAGCCAAAATTATTATCATGAATGTTTTTAATTGTTTAATTTCACTTCTGATTCATAAACCAATACAGAAATTGTTTTGTTGTCTATATGCAGTCTTTACTGAAATAAAGAAGTCTCTCATTAAAATAAGAAATAGTTCTTCCAGCCACTTAGGCTGAAAGGGGCCACCAGAGTAATTTAATCTCACCTCTTGTGTAATTCAAATCACCATGCGCCATCCAAGGACCAGTGGAGCAAGGCCCCGACTGCTTTTTGGTCAGTAGAAGGGATGGTAGTGCACAGGCAGGATATTTCTGCAAGGTTGAATCAAGTGACAGGGAGATTTTCAGTTGTGCGTTTATATAACACCACAGGCAAACATATTCCTCAAAGTGCTGGATGTTTCCTACAATGGCTTTGGCAACAGTGGAGCAGCTGCCTTGGGGGAGGCTCTTAAAGCCAACAACGTGCTGGAAGAGCTCAATGTTAGGTGAGTCAGGCTCTGGTCCTGCTCCCATTTTGCAGTGGTGGGCAAAGCCTACAGCAGCCATTTGGATCTCCTGCCTGTAGAGCGTGGTTGGTGTGTGAGGTAGAGGGAGCACTACAGAATACCAGTGCTGCTGGTCTCATCCCAAATCCCAATTCCTTGCCCTACGCTTGGAGTCACTTCTGAGGGGCTGGGGAATGCGTTACGGGATGCAGGGGAAGAGCATCTGGGGATTGCAATAGGCCTGTTAGGGGATGTTTAGGGGAGGAACCAAGGGTGAGAGAAGGACACCGGGTGGTCTGGGGAGGAACAAGCTTGGGAAAAGAGAGAGACCAGGTGTGAATGTTGAGTGCTTCTGTCTGTGTTATCTATGTGGCTGACCATGTGCATATCTTGCATACATTTGGGTCTGTCCCTGTTGGAAATACACAGTCAGCCTCGCTCCTGGGGCCATGGAGCCATGTCAGCCTGCCTCTATCAGCCTGTGGGATTTGGCAACTCCTCACCACTCCCAACCTCCCAAATACAATTGTTTAGTTAGAAGGAGCTGCCCTAAATTCCTTTTGGATATAACATTTCCAGTGCTGGGTGAAGCAGGAGGTTTGCGTATCCTTTGCCTGAACAATGTGGATATGGAAAACCTGCAGCTCAGCATGTGAAGCATGCCTTTTACCTGTTTTTAGCAGCAACCGTATTTTGGTGGAAGGAGCTCTGCACATTGCAGCTGGCCTGAAACAAAACAAGACTCTGAAAAGACTTAGCGTGAGTAACTTTCCTAGGAAGGTATTGGAGCCTCTTATGCATATTTAATTGTCACTGATGCATGTATGTCCTGGATGAAACTCCTTAGAAAAAAAAAATCCACAGCCAAGTCAGGGAGCTGCTTGCCCCAGCTTGTCTCCTCCCATGCTTGCCTGGTTGCAGTATGTTCTCAGCAAGAATGAGGACCTGTATCCATCGCTTTCCTCGGTGAACAGAGATTTCTGTGAAGCCTGCCACCCTGTGAACCGCAGCCAGTCCTGCCGTGTCTTGCAGCATGGATAGCATCCTGTTTCTGCAGCAACAGTGTCTTGGCATGGTGGGTGCCACTGGGATGGCTGCTTGAGAGCCCTTGGCCCACTGTTACTGGCACTTGAAGTAAATCCCGCTGGTATCTCACCCACTGGGGACCACTGGTACCATCAAGAATCACACAAAAACCCCCGTGGCACATATCCTCCTGATGTTTCTTTTCTTACTGCAGATGATCCGAAATCCCATGCAGAGTGAAGGCTGCTGTGGGGTCCTCAAAGCTCTACAAGAAAATTCTGGCACTGGCATAGAGATCCTGGACTTGCCAGTAAGTGTTACACCAGAAAGAAGAGGGAAGGGAAGGCAGAGGTTGAATGCGTAGCGTATGAATAACAAAGGGCTGCCAGAGGGATCCTGGCTCTGGCGTTGCTGCTGCCCAGTGGGGACTGTATATGGAGAGAATGGCCCCCCACTTGAGAGCACGCTCGGGCCTCACTTTGTGTGTTTACAGCAGCACCGAGGTGCATGAATGCACCGAACGGGGCATTGCTCAGGCTTTGGGCAGCAGAAGGGTCTGGAAGAAGCAGGGCTCAGCCCTCAGTGAAAAGGTGCTGGGCACTGGGAGGAATCTGGCTGCATGTGAATTCAGAAATTCCTTGGGAATCTTGAGCTCTCTGTTCTGACAATGGAAATAATTTTGAAAGGATTTCTGTCCCATTTCTGATGAAGCTGAATGACACTTCTGTGGCACAAAAACTTGCACTTCAACACCTCCCCCTTTTGTGAACAGTGCCAGAGCTGAGAAGGCAGCCCTGTCATTAGGTAGGTCTCAGCACAAGGCATCTCATACACCCTACCGAAGAGCATCACTTCTGGAACAGAGGCTCTGTCTCAGGCCAGCAGCCACTTCATGCCCCTAGGATCAATCAGTTAGCAACTACTTTTAACTTCTAAAAAGAGAAGTCAGTTATTCAGTTGTTTATTGAGGAGGGATTTGTCTGGCCTAACTCATATACAGGGTAGGTGGCTGTGTCTGAAGCGATTACACAAGATCTGGTCATAGATGGAGGTTTAATCAGTGGCATTTAAGGCGAAATTAACACACCAAAGTGTAGAGGTCTGCTTTAGGATGAGGAGGCTTGCACCTCAGCTCTGCTGACTGTATCACTGTGGACTACATAGGGAGACTGCGATGGTGAGCTCAGAGGAAAGACTTGCCCTGCAGTCACCGGCATTTAATCAGGTGGATCTTGTCCTTTGTGCTACGAACAGTCCAGATATCTGCCCTATCACCTGATGATCCCCAAAATGTTGAGCCTTCCTCTGTCATTCAGTGCCTGTCCCCTGTACCTCCTCCTCACCAGGTGTTTTAACCTCTCTTCCTGTAGACCATCCTTCTGAGCTTATTATCCATCCTGGCGTTTTTCTGACTTTCTCTCCAGGTCTTTTTTTTTATGTTTTGTTTTGGGGTTTTTTTTGTTTGTTTGTTTTCCACCTTTATCCACTTAAGCTCACTGTCTTTTGGCAGTGCCGTGAGGAGCTTGCATGAAGACCCGTATCTTCCTTTGATTTCTGTGCTGTTTCATCATTACTTTATCTCTTCTGCTTCTCGCCCTGGGAGCAGGATGCTGCTGTTGAATCTCATACCTACCTGTAACATGGTGGTTTTGCCTAACAGCTCTGGGTCTCACAACCTTGTGTCAGAATTCTGTGTTTGGGTTAAGAAAGCACAGGATATATTGCAGTATCTATTTTCTGAGGGAGGGTAAATCATACCACATGCTTGCTTACATGTAGTGATTTTCCCCTCTAGGACATCCCTGTGAACAAAGAGCTTGCAGAGCTGTGTGATGCTGTGAAAATACTTTTCCCCGATCTTCTTCTCAGATATGGTGGAAACGTGAAGTTGCAGAGGAAAAGTCAGTCAAAAGCTGAGCTTTGGACTCAGCCCAAAGTGGTGGGTAATTTGCAGGATGCAGTGGTTTAACATGGCTCTCTTTGGGGCTGCTGCTTCAGCACCTCTGCCTAACAGCCCAGCACCACTCACCAAGGATGTGCCAGGGCAGGATCTGTGCATATATTGGCAACTTCGTCATTGCTGACACTTGGAAGTTTTCTGTCTTTTCGCTTTAAGATTTCTGCTATGACCAGCTCTGTGTCTCTTCCAGCACGCTCAAGAGCATCCTCATGGGTGAGAGCCCAGGGGCTCCTTCTTAATCATCTTTGTGTTTAGGGCCATTTGTCTGGTGGAACATCGTGTGCTGTAGCTGCTGCTGGTGCTTGGGACCATAGGCCACCGCAGTGGGGGCTGTGCAGCCCGAGAGTGTGCTTAGGATGTAGGAAGCAAAGCCCTATCCAGAGATGTGCTGTGAACAAATGCTTTCCGCCTTAGGCTTGTTCTCCTGTCCTGCAGCCGGCGTTGCCTTTGCTGAACTGGCTGTCAGATGCACTGGTGACTCATTTTCACCTGCTTCCTACCACAGTTCCTTAGATTTACATGGAGCCTGTGCTCTCCAGAGTTAGAGCCCCTGTCCTGGGTCATGACTGGCGTTATTTCCTGGGTGCATGCTCTTGCTTTTGTCAGTGTTACACAGGATGGATGCTACAAGTTGCCTGGAAGTAGGACGGGCGCTCAGTGGCAGCTCAGGAATGACAGCAAACATGAGCTGAAACTCTTTTCCCCTTCCTGGGACATTTTCTGTCATTTTGGTATAATTCAGTGGATCCTTGCTGGGACACCTGGGCACTGTGATTCAGGGAGGAGGGGAACTGTGAGCTCCTGGGAGGGCATTGGGCAGGAACCTGGCTTAACTCTCTCTGTTTATTGAGGAGGGATTTGTCTGGCCTAACTCATATACAGTGTAGGTGGCTGTGTCTGAAGCTATTACACAAGATCTGGTCATAGATGGAGGTTTAATCAATGGCATTTAAGGCAAAATTAACACACCAAAGTGTAGAGGGACCTGGCTTAACTCTCCCTGTTACAGTCTCTGTGAAAAAGTGGTTTCTTGCAGGAGTTTCTTGCCGTGTGGGAGGGGGGCTGAGGATGGTCACACAGACAGCTCTGGATGCCTGCCTTGGGCTGGAGGCACAGGCAGCTCTGCCCTGCAGTCAGAGAGCAGCAAACCCCGGTGCTGTTGCAGTGCTGCCTTAGCCTAGTTGTGGCTATACACAAATAATTGCCTGTCATTCCCTGGAGGTTGGCAGACATCGTTTGTAAAGCACATGCAATCTCGGCTTTAGCCCTGGCTCTAGCTAGGCAAGCCTGGTCTGTCCCCTGGCATGTCAGCGTGCACTGGGTTTGATTTCCTCTTTCACTGACACACCAGGTGATGAGGTCTGGGGACGTCCAGGCAGCGCTCTCCTGTACGGCAGTGGTGACACCTCTGAGGAGGCAGCTTGTGAATGTGGGGGCCCAATTTCAAGACGGCTCCTGCCAGTCTCCTTCCAGAGTAGCTGGCTGGTGCCCTGTGCTTTGCCTTATGGTTTTTTTCCCTTATAACAGAAGCATAATCCCCTCACTCACGTCTGTATTTAATTTCCCTAGTAAATGGGCGTACCAGTGAAATTGCACTTAGTGTTAGTTCTCAGCAGAAGATGAGGTTTAGCCCCTTTATTTGAAAATAACTCTATTCAGTTACGATTTACGTAATGGAGTCTGTCCTGTACGTGTGCAAATTATTTCACAGTTATGTATCTAATAAACAGTGTCTGAGCCTTGGACTCGCACACGTCTGTTCACACCATTTGGGGAGGTCTCTTGCATGTTGTAAGGTCTGTAAATCTGTGTTGTTTTGAGAAACTTCAGAACCATCCGGACACCCCCTCGATCTCTAGGTGAAAAATTCATGTATCGAACACAGAGGCTATTATGGGTCTTGATTTAAATCAGTATAAGTACTTATATTTGAAAATATTTAGTCATCATTTATTGTTGCTGCTATGTCCTTTGCCTCTAGCCCTTCCTATGCTCTCCAAAGAAGAGATGCAAATTAAAATCGTATTAAAAAATAAGGTGGGTAAAAAATTCTTGCACACGAAGTCCTTCCTTATTCACCAGCTGGTGTAACTAGAGAAGATCCACTTTCCCCTGCCTTGACACGTATCCATTCATTAGTCACTGGAGTCAGAGCTGGGTGGTTTTATGCTCAATAAATCTTATCAGAGTGCTATTTGGGAACCTAAAAATACCGGGTGAGCCATCAGTGTTTTACAGGGTAGCGTAACTGGGATATATAGATGCTGCACGTTCACTGTCCTGCGGGTGTGATGAGAGCAGGGGGCGGCTGTGCAGGGCGGAGGATTTGCCCTCGGGGGGGCTGCAGGGAGGGGCGGGCACAGGCAGCCCCAGCTGCCCTGCGGGAGTTCGGCTGTGCTTGGGCAGCTGCTGCAAAGGGTTCTGAGGAATTAACGTGTGGAGAGTGATACTGAGAGCTGTGTTTCCGTTAGCCCGAAATATCAGTTACTCCCATTTAACCTGGCCATCGCCCCAGCTGGTGCCACTAGCCTCTTTCATCCAAACTCAGCTGTGTTCTCTTTCAGATTGGGAACTAGCTACGAAATAGCTCACCAGAAGATTTGTTGAGTCCCTGTTCATGATGCAATTTCTAGTATTGAGCCATTTTTTTGTGCCTGAGTGTTAATTCAATATTGTTCCTTTTTGGTTTCTTTACAAAACTGCCAGGGAGCAGTTGGTTGCCCTGTGGAAGGTACCATAGTACAACAGCACTGCTCCCTCTTTCCAAGCTCCTGTCCCCATCAAAGCACAGAGGTTACACAAATCATATTAATTGCCACTAATGATATTTTTTCCTTAATTCTTGAGCAGCTCTCATTTTGATCGGTGTCCTTTGGAGGCCGTGAATTTCCTCACACACACCCCTTCACCTTTTTTGAAAGATCAGCCAGCTTGTTTTTCTGCAGTGCTCTGGGATTTCTCCAGGTGCCCGACTGCTTCTGGAAAATGAGCATTAATGCTCCAGGGAAGCTCACTGCCTAATTCCACGCGAAACATCTCTGATTTAAGTTACACAGGTGATCTCAAAAGTTTTATGGTAGCTACTAATAAGCATCATTTGGAGGCAGGGCTGGGGCAGAGGAGCCCGCAGCATCACTCCTATCTTCTCCCCTAGTGCAGAGAAGATTTTCACGAACACTTTCATCTTCTTTACAATATTGAGTGTGCTGCCGTGCACAAAGGTGCCTTGGCTGTTGTCCCAGCAAGGGTCGGGGCCCGCGGTGTTTGGTGCTGCCCTGAAGTGCTTCCAGTCTAGTGAGGAAAGCCGGGGCAGGTGGGATCATGAGAAACCTCACTCCAGGGGACGAGCAGCCCATCCCTGAGAGTATCGGATGGACGCTTCTTAACCTCTCAGGCAGAGCTGTCAGCACCATGAGGAGGTGTTTCTGGTCTCTTTCCTATATCTCCCTCATGGCAGTTTAAGTCTGTTGCTTCTTGCCTTGTCTCCTGTGCCCGCGGTGAAGATTTATTCTCCTTGCTTTCGCGGCTGTGTGGTTGGAGACTGGCCTGGTCTGCTGTCAGAAAAGAGACTCCACTGCTGGGACGGGACCGCATCGCTCGCAGACACTTGCACGACTCGTTAGGAAATGTCTGCACCGTGCGGGGAGACAGGGAAGAGCTGTGACCTCAGAGCAGCCTGGCTGCAAGCACACACCCCCCCACCCCCCCCCCCCGTAATGCTTGGGGTACCCCTGTGCTCAGCACACTGGCTGCTGGCCGGCTCACCGGCGCTTCGTGGAGGGGCGAGGGGGCAGCAGGACCCAGGGTTTGCGCCCTCTTTTAATGCCCTGCTGTCCTCTGGCCGGCGGAAGGAGCAGATGCGAGGGGACGTCGCCGTTGCTGGGATGTCGGGGATGAAGCGCGGTGCTTACCTCATCCTCCGCCTGTGTCTGCAGGAGGGGGACGGGCGGGTCACAGGGGATAACGAGAGGATTACTTAGAGCAGCCCTAAACCAGCCCTGCGGCTCCTCTGTGCTGCTTCCAGAGCTGAGGCCGAGCGGGGGCGGGGGGGGAGGGATAATTTAGAAACCCCAGGCTGGGAAGTGATTTAATTTGGACGTGGAGCTGCCCTCTCCCGGCCACAAGCCCCCCACCCTCTTCCAGCGCTCGGGGCTCCCCTTTTCCTCCCTTGAGCGTGGACGGGGTTCAGGTATGGAAGCGGGTCGTTGCCCGCTGGTTTCAGCGTCACGGCCGTGGTTAAACTGTCTCCGGTGACAGTTTGGGATGCACCTGCGGCTCCCGTCCCCACCCCCCCCCACGCGGGAGCTCCCACGGCTCACGTTGCTGGGGCCGGGGGGGGGGGGGGGGTGGCATTTCCCAGAGCCTGCGAGACCATCACGGGCTCAATCCTGTCTGGCCATCTCCGGAGCTGGGCTGGGGGCACCCCCTCCCCGAGCTGCCCCTCGGTGCTGGGGGAGGAGGGGCACAGGCTGATGCCGCGTCTCAACCGTATAAAAGATGGTAGGTAGCACCCTTGGCATCGATTTTCTCCCGAGGACGAGCACCCGCTTTATAAGAACTCTCCTCCCAGGGCGCGGCAAACCAGCGCTGCCCGGGGTAGCTCCTCTCCCAGCCCCGTAGCGTTGCTGGTGAGGCTCGGCCATCCCTGCCCACAGCCTGCCCACTCCCACGCGGCGCGGGGGGGGGGCGGAATTACCATCCAAGGATCACATTAACCCTCTTAGCCCAGCCCGGGAGCACGGGTGCCGGAGCTGCTCCTGGCCCCGAAACCCTTCCAGGTTCCCGGAGCTCCCGCACCGCCGTTACACCACTGACCTACCCACTTCACCGACACACGGTAATTAGACTGATTTCCATGCAGTCCAGCTGGGCTGATTAGACCATTTCCATGAGTCCCAGAAGATAGGATTTTTATTTTTTTCTTAAGCTAATTTGGATAAAGGTACTCCCGTGGAAAAATCGGTGTAAAACAGCAAGCGGCTGTCTCCCTGTGCTCTCTGAAACAGGATTTTGTAAGCTGCACACGGGGGTGGTTTGGTTTTAAATCTGGCTGGATCACACGTACAGGGGTACAGATGGGGGAAGTGATGTTTTCTTTCTCCCTACAATTATGGGCTGCCATCTTAAAGCACTGCTGATGGTGTTTGGTTTTGTTTTTTTGTTGTGGTTTTTTTTTTGTTTTGTTTTGTTTTTTTGGGTTTTTTTCCATTTGGTTGGTTGGTTGTTTTTTTTCCCTGCTGATAGAGTTTTCAGGAAGAAGCCATTATAGGAGGGCTGCCTTGGTGGCAGTGCCTGCTGACCACTCCCTTTTCTTTGTGTGTGTGCATTAGACATGTGCACACATTAGTGTGTTTAGAATCAATTAATACACGTTCTGTGTTTGTGAAGGGCACGTTACTGCCATGGGATGGTGTGTGACACGGATGAACAGACCAATTTTGTAATCCTATTTAAAAAAACCTCACAAGCGTGCTCGAGAGGGCATGCTTGCCTCCCAGGCTGCCGTTAATTATGTTTCAATCTTTTAATTCCCTGCCAGCCACGTCGCTGTCCCTCCCTGCCTCTCCCTGGCTCTGCAGAGGGGTACCCCATATCCACGCTTGCTTTTTATGGAGCAGCCTAACATTAATTTGTCTGCATTTTTACAAAGGAATGTTTTCAAATAGACTAAGTATCAATGGCTATGAGGCTCATTGGACAACTCTCAGGTCTTTGCCAGTTTACAAGGCTGACCGAGAGCCCACGCTGGGGGAGCTCGGCCGTGGTGACAGCCGGGAGTATTTTGTGGTGTGACTTATATTGACTTCCCTCCTAAAGAGAACATGAAAGTGTTTTGAACCTCAGTCTGTCCTGCTCTGTTAGGACTTCTGCTGTTCTTCCCCAACCCTGCACTGGGTTCCCTTGCTCTTGATACATCACTACATTTCTTTCTATTCTCCTTTATACTGGTGACGATGGATTTATAGCAGAGATTAGAACCTGACAATTGTTAGGTGAGTTAAGTCTATCTGCCTCCCCGGACACCTGTTGAATACTTTATTTTTTTAATCAAGAATGTCTTTGTTATCACAGGAAGGAAACTTCCCTAGTGAACAACAACGGTGAGGGCGGGTGTATCTGTGGATTATCTCAAGTGACTCCCACTTTAACTCCCATTATTTTCACTGGTTCACGAGTTCTCCCACCCATCTAGCTCATACCCCTTGGCAGCTTTACCGAACCTGCCCTGGTGCTGCTCAACATTGTGTTCGCTGTTGACCAAGGGGTTCAGGCCCATCTGGGTGAGCAGAGTTATGTGTAAAACTCAAGCTCCAGGCTACCTCTGCACGGCTGCCCCAGCCCCTTGGGGGTCCTAGTTTCCGTGGGGCCAGCTGGAGCCCATCCCCGTGAATGAAACGCCTGTGTCAGAAGAGCAAAGCTGCTCTGGGCAGTGCCCAGGGGACCCGGCCAGGCATCGCACAGCTCACACGTGCCAGCCTGGCTCTGGAAGCACGTGCCGGCGGCTGGGAAGCCGGGCTCCCAGCACGGTGACTCGCGATGCCGAAAAGCAGCCCCGGGTGGGGGCTGCCCACCCCGGGCACAGCCCCCGGCTGCCCTTGCAGGGCTCAGGAGGAGTGAGGCTGCAGGGTGGCAGTGGGTAGCACGACCCTCCCTTTCCCCAAGCTTTCGGGGGCCTTTCCTGAGCATCAGCTGGGGGAGCAGCTTCCCCACGTGGCCTCTTGGCGGGGGACGCAGAGAGCACAACCAACCAGAGCCGTCACAGAACCGGTATTTATGAGGGTGACCAAGTCAGCCCGTTGCTCACAAGCCACTACACAGAGGTGCCAAGCAGGGCCACAGCACGGCGGGGACGCGCTGCTCCGTCGGCAGCAGCGGCAGCGGGGGGGCGAGGCGGGATGCGGAGCAGCGCTGGCAGGCAGAGGGGTTCACCAGGGAGCCGGCGTATCGGGCACAGACCCCCCCGTGGCCCCTCCAGACCCCCCCCAGGGACTGGCCAGCGAGAAGCAATGGGACCAGCTTGCCCGTGGTCCCCAGCTCCTGGCAGGATGCAGATGACGTTGCACATCCAGCACGGCTGCAGGGAACAGGGTGTCCACGCTGCAAGGCCTGGCAGTTCAGCAACCTCCTCGCGCTCGACTGATTGTTTCCTCCACCTATTTCTTCCAAAACGTGCTAAAACCCCCTTCCCTTCCACTTCGGGCTGCCCATGGGCAAACCAGCTAGGGGTGGCTGCAGCAGTGCTGCTGGGGACCCCCCCTCCCAACACCATGGCAGCTGGGGTGAGTCCCAGAGCACAGGGGTGCTCACCAAGGAGGGGGAAATACTGAAAAAGCACCCAGAGATCCCGTTGTGAGCCACAGAGAGCCCAGGAGAGGCATCTCAGGGGGATGAGCCCCCCCCCATGCCAGGGCAGGTGACAGTGCAGGCTGTGCTGCTGGGGTGCAGGGGAAGCGGGGAGCCGGCTCCAGGCAGCCCAGCCCAGGGATGCTGCTGGGGACCTCCAGGCACAAGGCAACAAACCTGGGGAACTGAGCAGTCACACCCACGTGAAGCCTGGGGCAAGAGCCTGGCCCTTGCATGACCTTCCAGCCAGGCTTCCAGCCAGGCACAGCCCCCAGCCCACCCTGAAGCAGCCGATGCCAGCAGCTGGGAAGATGCAGCTGGGCTTCTGCCACGCCAGCCCGCGCCAGCTTTCCCAGGCTCCCAGGCCAACCACTCATTCTGGCCATGTCCCTCCTCCACCTCATGTCCCCAGCTGCTTCTCGGCCCCCTCAGCCCCAGCCTTTTAGCAGAGCAGCCCTGGGGACGGGGATGACAGGGGTGACAGCAGGGAAGCATGTTTGGTGCCTGCCTCCTGTCGCAGGCAGGCTCAGCAGGAGGCAGGGGGGCTCTGCAGCAAGAGCCCACACTGCAGCCAGGACGAGACCCAGGGTGAGCAGCGCTGGGCTGCCTGCCCTGCTCCCCGGGGACTTTCTGCATCCCTCTGCATCCCCGACTGCGCAGACAGGCCAGCGGAAAGGAGATTTGCTGCACAGCTCCTGGCTGCAGTCGGGGGAAGGTGGGGAGGATGTGGCTCCTTGTGAGCAGGGCAGGCACTGGGCTGAGGGGGACGAGACCCAGCTCCTGAGTGCTGGGGATGGGGAGGGAGAGAGCCAGCCCCCCTCCCCAATCTGTGGGGAGCAGGTGGGGAAGGGCAAGCATCTTCATCATCTCCAGATGGAGCCGCACGCCCAGGGCGGCCCCGGTGGCTTTGCTGTCGAAGGAACCGGGAGGAGGAGATGGGGTCTCTGGCCTCATCGTGGAGAGGGGGTCAGATGCTCCCAGAGCCAGGGGCCCCCGTCCCCTGGGGTGTCATCTCTTGCAGTCGTCAGTGTCGGTGTCCGGCAGTCCAGCAGCGGGCTGGGAGCTGGGCTGGACCGCCTGCACCCTCTCCTCCAGGCTGCCGCTGGGGAACACCACGTAGCGGGCGCTGACGCGCTGCGGCCGGGGCTCCCGCAGGTTCTCCTTGCTGTGCCAGATCCCGTAGCCGAAGTAGACGAGCAGGCCTGCAGCGGGGGACAGGGACAGCAGCGGCTCGAGCACGGGCCGGTGGCTGGCAGGGATGCGGCCGGCATCCCGGCGGAGCAGCACAAGCCACTGCAGCTTAAACAAGCTGCTTGCAGGAGGAAAAGGATCCTGCAGCGTGTTAAGAGCAAGGGAGGGGGGCACCTGCAGTCCCCTGAGAGCCCCAGGGAGCTGCCTTGGGAGCAGGGGGTGGTTCTGGTCCAGAGTTTGAAGGAACCTTAACAGGAACAAGCTGTAATACTCTGGGAACCAGAGCGGGTCAGGGAGATGCTGGGAGACCTCAGCTTGCGTCTCCAAAGGGGAACCGGAGGCAGAAAAGGGCACGGTGAGCTCTATAAACCCATCACTCGGGGAGAAGAGCTGCCGAAGCAGCCGGCTGGTGCCAGGACAAGCCTGGTTCCCCTCTTCCTTGAGGAAAGTTGCCACGGGAACACTCACCTAAGAGCAGCCAGATGGCAAAGCGGAGCCACGTCATGTAGCTGAGCTTCAGCATCAGATAGATATTGAGGATGATGCTCAGTGCCGGGGAGAGGGGTACCAGGGGGATCTGCAGGAGAAAAGGAGCCGGGGAGTGGGGTCAGGTCTGCAGGAGCACGTTCCCCTTAAAACCAAAGCCAACATTGGTCGACATGGGGAGACAAAGCGACTGTCACCTTGGCTTTCTGAAAATTACTTTTTTTTTTTTTTTTTTTTCTCCAGAAAAAAGGCAGCCAAAAGGAACAACAGATCAGTTAGGGAGCCAGGAGGTGGGAGCTGGGAGCCAAGCTGGCAGGGTGGGCACGGGCTCTGGGAACAGCCCAGAGGCATTGTCATGAGGACTGAACAAGCTCCCGGCGCAATCCAGAGCCAACATGGTCCTCGCTGGAGAAGCTGGGATGGGGCACCTCAGGGAGGTGGTGTTACCACTGGCATTGCTGTCCATGCGGCTGCACCACACTGGGCCCCAGACAGGCTGGAAACTGGAGAGGGGGGAGCACGAGAGGCACAAAAGTGGTTTGGAGGCTGAAGAGCTCCACCGTGTAGCTCCAGGGCAAGTCAAAGGCAGAAGGATGGGCAGGAGGGGAGCGGGGGGTTGTGGGGATGTGGAGGGAGCCCAGGGCGGGCAGGAGTGATCCCGTGGAATGGACACAGAGGTGCTGGGGATGTCCCCTCCCGGGGACCGGTGACCACGCAGAATGACACCGCAGGCATCAACACCTCCCCACACCCAGTGCTCACCAACACCCTCCTCCCTCCTTCAGCAGTTGCAGCGGTTTCACCAGACCGGTGTGACTGGGGCCTCCCGCGGGTCCATCAGAGCTGCTCCCACCCCACCGACCCTGGCAGAGGGACTCATCCTGCCTGGGCCCCCGGGTGTACCTGGAAGGTCTGCGTGCCACGCTGCTGCTCGTGCGCCCAGATGAGGAGGAGGCTGAGCAGGAAGCCCAGGCTGAAGAGGACCAGGAGCAGGGAGTAGCTCCAGGTGGGCAGGTGGAGGTGGGTGTTGCCGAACGCCAAGACGGAGCAGAGGCAGACGGCGGACACCATCAGGGTCACCACGGCCACCGTGACCACCTCGCCTGGGTAGAAGTCGCTGAGGAACTCCAGGTAGGGCTCAAAAGCTGCCTTCAGCTGCCCTGGCTCCCGGTGCTCTTTGCTCTTGTCCCTGTCCACCAGCTGGAGCTTGTCGGAGAAGGACTCGTACTCCTTCAGCTCGCTGGCAGAAGGACCCTCGTGGGGATCGGGGCTGGGCCGGCCACCGGCCGCTGGCGCGGGGACATCCACCTTCTGCTGCTGGAAGCGCAGGACGATGATGCTAGCGGCCACAAAGGTGTAGGCCAACAGTGTGCCGATGGACAGGAACTGCACCAGGGCCTCCAGGTCGAAGACGAGGGCCAGCAGGGCCATGAGCAGTCCGAAGACCACGATGCCGACAACAGGCACCTGCGTGCGGGGATGCACTTGGGAGAAGACCCGAAAGAAGAGCCCGTCCTCAGCCATGGCGTAGACGATGCGCGGCAGGGAGAAGAGGTTGCTCAGCAGGACGGTGTTCATTGCTGAGGGACGGGCAGAAGAAGGAGGACCCCATCAGACCCAAACCGCCCCAGTTCCCAGCCCCCTGCCGTAAGCGGGGCGGGCAGCTCCCACCCCCGTCGCCTGTACTCACCACAGATGGAGCCAGCGGCCACCAGGAACCCTGCCCAGGCGTAGCCCCTCCTGTAAAACGCATCTGCCAGGGCAGAGTCGGGGTCCAGCGTGTGCCAGGGCACCATCAGCGTCAGCACCACCGACACCAGGATGTAGGCGCCGGTGGCCAGCCCCAGGGAGAAGGCGATGGCCCTGGGGACAGCCCTCTGCGGGTTCCTGGCCTCTTCGCTGGAGGCCGCAATGACGTCGAAGCCCACGAAGGCATAGAAGCAGGTGGCCGTGCCAGCCATGATGCCCGACAGCCCGTACGGGGCAAAGCCGCCCTCCTGGGCACTCCAGTTCTTGGGCTGCGCGAGGATGAAGCCCATGATGAGAATGAAGAGGATGACACCCATGCTGATGGCCGAGAAGACGTGGTTGAGCCAGGAGGACACTTTGGCCCCAAAGGAGATGAAGGCAGTGGCTACCAGCAGGATGGCGGCTGCCAGAAAGTCGGGGTAGCGGGCCAGGAACGGCACCTGCCAGGTGCCCACGTGGGTCTCAGTGAAGTTCTTTATCTTGTGGTTGAAGATAGAGTCCAGGTAGCCGCTCCAGGCCCTGGCCACCGCGGCTCCCCCGATCATGTACTCCAGGAGCACGTTCCAGCCGATGAGGAAGGCCCAGATCTCACCCACGGACACGTAGGTGAACATGTAGGCAGAGCCCGTCTTGGGTACCCTGGCTCCAAACTCGGCGTAGCAGAGAGCAGCCAGGAGTGAAGCAAAGCCAGCGATGACGAAGGAGACTATGACAGCGGGGCCAGCAATCTCTTTGGCCACAGTGCCTGTGAGGACATACAGCCCGGAGCCCACCATGCCCCCGATGCCCAGCAGCGTCAAGTCGATGGTGGAAAGGCATCTGTTGAAGGATGTCTCCATCATGTCGTCCTCCAAGGTCTTCACCCGGTTGAGTTTCTGGCAGAAGCGGGTCAGGTCGGCCGAGCGAGGCAGCCACCTTGCCATCCTGGAGGCCGCGGGCTCTGCCCTGCGGCAGGGGAGGGGACCACAGCAGCGAGGCCCTGCCTGGAGACCTGGCAGAGGGGCAGGAAGGTGTGAGCATCCCCTCCCGCCGGGAGGTATCAGGCGGTGGGGACAGGGTGGAAAAGCCACCGGGGCACATTCAAGGGGCCCCTCGCTCCTCAGCCAGCACGGGGCTCAGCACCGGAGCGTGTCCTCCCCCAGGGTGGGTGGCACAGGACAGCCGGCCCCGAAACCACAGCACCCCCAGGGAGGCACCTCCCAGGCTTTTCTTTTTAAAATGGAGCTGCATTAAGGCCCGAACCAGGCTGCTCTGGCCCTGCTGAAGGTTTCTTTGCTGCTCCCCCTCCTCCTTATTCAGCATCTACCTGACCTTCTCCCTGGCGTGCTGAGAGCCCACGCAACGTCCCTCTGCTCCCAGCCTCTCCCTGCTCCCCCTGGGGAATGCCCGGGCACGGCAAGGAGGCGAGCAGCAGAAAGTCCAGAGCAGCTCCAGCGAGGCCACGGGAGGCCCCAGCCAGACCAGCAAACACATCCAGCAGCCCTAACCGGCAGCTGCCACCTGGCAGAGCGGGAGGACGCAGCTCTGGGGACCTTCAGGTGCCGCTTCACAGCTGCTCCCCAAGGCGGTCTGTGATTTTGGGGATGCTCTCCCCTTCCAGCTGCCCCCCTCCTCGCGCCAGGATACACGCCTCGCTGCATCCCCAAACCACGGGTCCTGCTCAGAGGGCTCGTGCCGCCCAGCGCAGCCCTGCTCCCTGGGTCCATCTGTCTCAGAGGCCAAAAGGTCCCGGAAAGGCCACCCCGAGCTGATGGCACGGTGCTGGCCTGTGGGGACAACAGGCCTGTTGGCACCAACCGTGCTGGCTGAGACCCCCCACCCCCCCCGGCCCCACTTGCCACCTGCATCTGAGTCCCTGTGGCGGGGCTGGCAGTATTGGGGTGCCCAACCCCAACGCACTCGGGAACGGGCAGGACACAGAGCTCGATGCCTGCTGAGCAAGCATCCCTCCCAGGTTTGGGGGGGGGGGGAGTGGAGGGGGGTGGTCGCGGGTGGCACCCACGGGCCCGGGAGGCGGGGGGACTTGGGGGATAGGGGTTCAGCCTCCGGCCTCATCCCCCAGGTGGGGAGAGGGGAAAGTTTCGCCCCCGCTCAGCCCCACCGCGCTGCCGGCCCTGGGGCGGCGGCGAGCCCCAGCCCCGCTCCCCCCTTCCCCCGAAGGACACCCCACGCACCGCCCCGGCCCCGTCGCCCCGGGGGGGGTGGGGGGTGGGTGTCCCCGCTTACCTGCGCGGCCCCGGCCCCCACCTGCTCCGCGCCGCCGCCGCCGCCACCTCCCGCCCCGGCTCCGGCTCCGGCTCCGCCTCCCCGGCCCGGCGGAAGGGCGGGGGCCGGCGCGGCGGCAGAGGGGACCCCCCCGGAGGAGGAGGATGGGGGGGCAGACCCCCCCGGAGGAGGAGGAGGATGGGGGGGGGCAGACCCCTCCGGAGGAGGAGGAGGAGGATAGGGGGGGCAGACCCCTCCGGAGGAGGAGGAGGAGGATGGGGGGGCAGACCCCCCCGGAGGAGGAGGGGTGTCGGGGGGCAGCCCCCTCCGGAACCACCGGTGCGCGGGGTGGGCTCCGAGACCCGGGGATGCTGCAAGGGCAGCGCGGCCGGTAGCAGCCCCAGCCCCAGCCGAGCTGGGAGCAGCGGTCGGGGGAGCACACCCCACGCCCCACGCTCCACGGCCCCCCACCCCCGAAGAGGCTGACCAGTTTTTGGCAACGCGGCGAGAGCGTCGCGGTGGGGTCCCCACGCTTTCAGTGCTGCCAGCTGGAAGCCAGCCCCCGTGGCGGGGGGGGGGGGGGGGGGGGCTTGAGCCACGCACAGAGGGACCGGCGGAGGGGGCATCCCAAATCCCGGCTGCTGGACGCAGTTCTGGGTGGAGCAAAGGGCTGAGACCCTGCTCCGCTCCTCCTTGGCTTATTCCAAGGAGGAATCGGCCTCGACCGCCCTATGCTCTGGAGCTGCTGCCTGGGAGACAGGAACCTGCCCCCCGCTCAGCTGTTTGTCATGAAGAGGCAGAGGTGGAGGGGAAAGCGGCCGGGCGGTGGGAGGTGAGCTCTTGAACAGCCCCATCCAGCTCACGGCCCTGCCGCCCAGGTCTGAAAAAAGCCAGTGCCAGGGCAAGAGCACAAAACCCGAGCAACAGCATGTAGTGCTTCCCCATGGCTCCAGGCACCTGCAGCTCAGCGAAGGGGCATCACCTCTCTCCATCTCCGAGTCGAAAGGCATTTCTTCTCCAGAAGTGCCTCACCTTCTCGTGAACCAGCATAAACCTGCTTCTCTAGCCCCTCGTGGCAGAGTTTGCCAAGCAGTCGCCTGTTCCACCTAAACCTACCTTTTACAGGCTTCATATAACACCCCAGCTCTTGTATTTGAAGAGAGTGAATTCCCTCTCTATGTCACCTGTAGTTTTACCTGTACCTTGTCGGGCACCTCATTTTCAGATAGAGGAGTCCAGCCTGGCTGGAAGGTGGTCCAGATCTCTGGTGTCCCCCCGGCCTTTGCAGAGCCTGTTCCAGCTCTACTGTACCCTTCTTGGGATGAAGGGATCTGTGTTTGGGTGCTGGTGCACCAGCAACTTCACAGCAACAAAATGCTTTCAGTTTTTTTCTCTGCTCACCTACTAATGTTTTATTTGATAGCCTGATGGCTACTGAGCACTAAAGCTGATGTTTCCACGGACCCATCAGTCATCACCTCAGATGTCACTCCTGAGTGGTAATGGTCAACTTGGAGCCCACCATGCAACATTACGGGCTCCCACCTGCATAAATTCACCCTTATCCACGCTGAATCAACGTCCTTATGCAGAGGGGACCTCGCTATCCTCCTCATCAGCCCAAAGCGTGGAAAAAGGAAGCAAGAAACAGGACTTGTCCCTTTCCACCACCCACCATTCACCTTCCTCCAGCTCATGGGTGAACACGGGGTTGGCACGGAGCCATAGATCTCCCGTTGGTCACCTCGCACCAGAACGGGGAGCTCTATCCTCTCGTGCATCCTCTCTCCACGTAGCTTCGGACGCACAAGGGGACTTAGGCAGGAACTTAAGGTCCAGCTCTGCAGGCGGCTGAAGCCACTGGAGCTGGCCACCAAAGGGGTCCCCAACCACATGTTCCTGGGGGCACCAGTCGAGAGCTTGGGGGCTGCACAGGCAGTTGAACCAAGGAGCCGAGACAGCAGAAATGCAGTAATCCTTTGCAGCACTTCCAGCTGCTTTGGATCACGCTCGCCAGGTCCGAGCCCAGCCCAGCAACACAACCGCGGCAGCACGGGCACTGGGCACTGCCAGTGCTGTGGGGAGGCGTCACCCTCTAGTGACACAAAGGCGCTTGCTTGGAAAAATATCTGTGTGTGCTCAGCAATGCTTTGGGGAGGGGGCTGAGCAAGTTTTCCCCCCCCGAAATCGTGCTGACCGAATACTCCCTGATCACCAGCCATCCCGGGCGCTTTATTCCCTTAAGATAACCTTTTCCACCAACTAACCACGTCTGACCACGCTGCCGCTCTCCGCCTCCCGCAGGAAGCCTTCCTGAAACACAACCTGACCACAGGCATGGAAAATTTCAGCTTGGATCGGCTGCCTGGCAGAGCCGCCGGCAACCAGCTGGTGGGAGTGGGAAGCCCGGGCGCTGCCGTTGTCATGGCAGTGCCGGCGCAGCCCCCCCCCCAGCCACCACCCCCCCGGGACAGTCGGTGGCCGAGGTGGCAGTGCCCAGCTCGGGGCCAAGGCGGGCTCCTGGCAGCGCAGGGGGGGCCGAACCCACCGGCAGCAATCCCAGCCTGCTGCCTTGGCTGCCCCCGAGCTTCTCCAGCCAGGCCATCGGCTCTGCCACTGCTCCAGCAACGCAAAAGTGCTCGTCTCGAAGTGTGTGGGGGGGTCCTTCTCAGAGGTGGCACTACCCCCCCAGCTTCCAGGCAGTCTCCTTTCCTGCAACAGGACCCGTTGCTCATCTCCGCCTTCCTCATCCTCACCTCAAGCAGCACTTTCCTTGCTAATAGCTCTGACCACACACAGAGGGACGGGGATGCCTTCTTCACCCGGCCAGCACGGGAGCTCGCTGTGCCTGTACGTGTCCTCACAGGCAGGATGACGGTGTCTCCCGAGGGGAACGCTGCCCGCTCTGCTCCTCGCCGTTCAGCAGTTGAGTGCTGGGCTCACAGCTGGGAGTCGAGCATCCGCACAATTCAAGGTGGTTCGTGGGGATCCTGCAGCGGTGCAGGTCCCACGTCAGCCCACCTTCCAGCTGGGGAATTTTCCCCCAGGAGGTGAGAGAGGTACCTCTTGTCTCCAGCTGCTGAACCACAGCAGCACACTCCTGTGGGGAGGAAACCCCCACCCGTGATGGAAGCGGGAGGGGGCCTCAGCCTTGTTTCTGCAAAAGCCTCATTGATCCTTGTAGCTGCTGATCTTCAGTGTGCTTGTCTACAGTAGCGGGCAACTCCTCCACCACCACCTCACCGTACCGAAGGGCCGCCCACAAGCTCTGCCGACAGCTTTGCAGGTTTCCTCACTTCAGCCTGGTTCTCCAGCTCTACGGCTGGCTTGCTCTAGCTTCAGTGATCCGCTGTCACGTGAACGTAAGGGCTCCCTGTGCCTTGAGAAGTGACCCATTTCCCAGCCTCGGTGATCATCAGCATACTGAATCTTCTCACACTGCCTTCTGCTGGGAAAAGGGATTGCTGCAGTAATGGCAGAGGATGCGTGCAAGAGCAAACAGCAACACAAACATGTCTCCCAAATACGAGCCTTGCTCTGGGAACGCCAGAAAACCCTTAAACGGTGACCTGGGTGTAACCAAAGCCCTTCAACACACAACGGCCCAAGTCTTTGAGCCACCCCAACAGCTTCTCCAATCCGAACTTCAACCGTGAAGAAAAGAACTGCTTACAGACTCTCCTTTGCACCATCCTGTTTCATACGGGCAGCCAACACTGCACACTGCCTGGCACCAACACATTTCTTACTCGCTTGAAGTGACCTTTTACCAAGTTTTCAGCAAGTGCCCCAACAGCTTCTCTGCACCAAGGATGTGACTCACACTCTCAGGGTCCTCAGCTCAACCCTGAAAGGTCTCAGAAACACCCAAGGTTCCCCCCCCCCCCCAGCCTTAACCTAGCACACTGCAAACCCCACTCTCATCAAGCAGGGGGGGGATAGATGTAATCACAACCATTGACATTTAGAAAGCTGCAGCCCCAGAAGGCAGGACAGAATATTTTATTCCTCTCCATTTGAAAACTGGTTTAAAGTAACAAAGCAAAAACTCTCAATCCTTCTCTGCAATCCGAGTCGGGTGGGAACACTGTGAACGTCACAGCCCACTAACAGTGGGCAGAGGCCAGAAATCTTTAATAAAGCCAGTGCTGTTATCTGCCTAGAGGTCTCACTGGGAAGGGTCTGCCTGTTCAAGAGGCTGTTCTTCCCTCAACATACACAGAAGCATTTTCCTGTAGATAAACCTTGGGACTTTTTTTTCCCCATCTGCCATGGTGTGGTGGCACCAGACGGCGAGTCCACTTGGCTTCCTGGCCTGCTCTGGCAGTTGCTCACCTCTCCCCTTCCCTACCAGAGACCTGCACTCCTCCTCCGCAAACCTGGCGGTCACACTGCTCACCTGGTGAGCTTGTCACCTAAACACAGGGCTCACCCAAATACGGCTAGGCTGGGTTTGCTGCCTTGGAGCTCGGCCCCGTCTCCCCTGGCTTAGAGAACGGCCTCACCGACGCTGCAGGCTGCACATGGCAGATTAATGCCCTCTGTCACCTTGTTCTAGCGAGACGCGCAGGATGCATCTCGCTTTGAGGACTGGAGAGGCAGTCTGATGCTCCCCAACCACCCCCCAGCTCTGGGGACCTGCTTCACCCAGCTCTAAGGTTATCTAAGGGCCTCAGCTCTTTCTTCTACAGCCAGTAGCCTCGTCCTGACGTGATAAAAAGCAAACGCATAAACAGTCTAATCTTTAGAGGGAAGTCAGAAGAAAACTGTGGAAAGTAAACAGCAGATTTGGTCATTTAGGAAAAAGCCTTCTCCGACTCAGATTCCTTCTGTTGTAACTTCCGAATCAGTTCCAGTAAATTCATCTGTAATGTCAGCTCCTGCAAAGGAAGAGAGACATTTTTGCAAGGATAAGATGATCCCATTCCCTGCTGCAGGAAGCAAAAAGCACTGCTTCGTACCACCCACTCAAGAGCTACTAATCTTCAGGGAACAAAAGAAAAAGCATGCAGATACAAAACAAAGGCTTCGTCTTGTTTAAGCATTTCTATAAAATACAGGGCAGTGATATCTTAACAGATCTGCTGCAAACCGCAGCTGTCTCGAGAACCCCAGGGGTTTACAATTCATTAAGGATTCAGAAAGGTTCTTTCTTCTTGACTGTGGTTTAGCGATAAATGCTGTGAGGGCCAGCCAGTTCTGCAGGTTTCCCCTTCTGGAGCAGCCTCCAGGAGCGGGGCAGCAGTGTTCCCTTGCCCATGCACAGCCACACACCCCAGGAGAGCTCCTCCGGGTCAGCACAGCTCTTCCCCCTCGTCCTCCAACAGTATCTTCAACGCCCTGATTCTCTTCCAGCACAGATGGGCAGGAAGCAGGAGGGATTGCTCTGGGTGCTAAGTGGAGCCTAAGGCATGTGCAACACACTGCTGGGCTGCTGCGTCAAAGTCCTCTAGGTGTTTCATTCCTCTTCAGAAACTCCCTTTTCCGTGACTGTAATCAAAGTGGAGGCCACTGCCTCCTGCAGTCACCAACATCAGCTTACAGCTTCCTTACCGTCTGCTTGTTCTCTACTCACATTTATCTCACAAGCCATTTAGCACAGAGACTACACGGTGGAGTAGCTAATTCAGTGAACCCTGTTCCGTGACTCAGGCTTGCAGACATTACGTTATGGAAATAAAAATCTATTTTTGTAAAAATGTATCAACTGCATAAGCAGGAGTTTTATACAACAGACTGAAAGGAAACACATCAGCTGGTGGGAAAATGCCCGCAGAACAGAATTCAGCAGTTATTTCTTATATGATGGTGGCATTCACAGGTACAAGGCAAGGTCTGGGTCTGGTTTGCCAGCTATCGTAAAGGCAAACATAAACAAACCCCAGCAAATAGGAACCCTGTTAAGGGTTGTATTACTTACAGAAATAACATAAAAGGCAGGGGCAGGAAGGGAGAGAAAGAACTGCTTTCATTATACAGATGAGGAACAGCAGCACAGGAAAAAATAAGAGGCTTGTTCAAGGCTACACAGCCAGGAATCGTGTGGGTTTTAGAAAATAACTAAGTTTAAGCCATCGTTTTTCATTAGTAGGTCTTTATCAAAGTGACATTTAATCAGCTGAAAAAACAGAGTTAAGAACAGCCTGTTTCTGCATTCCCCGCAAACTTCTGTGGCATTACAATAAGACTTTGGAAGTTTTATTTTTTCATTCCTGCGGTGGTGTTAAGACAACAGAGAAAAAACCAGCCAATTGCTCACAAGTTTAAAGAGCAGATGCACTGGGGAAACCAAGAACAATTTTCTAATCACAGTCTGAGATCATCATCTCCAGTAAGTCACATGCGAGGATTAACAAGATGCCTAATGAAAAGACTCAAAGGCAATTTGTACAGCTAAGCGAGGTACAAAAGCGATAAACCTACACAGCCACTTATTTTAGTATTATTCAGACCCATTCAATAGTCACAGGTCTGCAGGCTGTTGGCAGAGTGTTTCTTCCCTCCACACTGGGAAAAACATTGCAGAAAGCTGGGGATGTTGCCCTGTCTAATGGGCTTCTGCCCCTTCATTATGCACCTGGTACTACATCTGCCCAGGGCATGTTGCCCATCAGCTGATGAGGCCAAAGGATGAATCATTCTTTCCGACCCAGGGATTCAGAATTCATTAAGAGCAAATTTTTTTTTTTTTTAAATAAAGACATTAACACAAGAGTACTGTCAGATGTTATACTCCCTGTTTAAACACCAACCTGTGGGTTGGTGGTGATGTAGAAGCCAGACACCCCCGCCTTCTCCAGAGTGCTCTGTTGGTCTATCACTTTTTGGTCCAGTTCCAAGACTATCTTCTCATCCATCATTCGCTGTTCCTCTCGAATTCGTTGCTCCACGGCCTGAAAAAACAGTCGAGGGGAAAAAAAGTGGCATATCTGCCTTCCTCCTATCTTTTTCTCATCTCTAAGTCTTTCACTGAAACCAAAGCGTGACTAGACCCTGAGGCACTCCTGCTCTGAAGAGTCCCAAGGACAGCAGAGGGCAGCAAGCACGGCCCCAGATCTTGCCTCCTCCACTCATCATGTCTCCTAGCAAAGTTACCACTCAAGGAAGTGCAGGGAAAGCGCTGGGACCAGCCTGCTTTCTGTGTGTTTGGAGGCCAGGAAAGATCACGAGCAACAGATCAGGATCTGAACGACTTTCCCTGATGAGCCAACCTCTGAGCAGCAGGTCATGGCTGAGCACTCCAGCAGTACAGGCTCGGAAGAAGTCAGCAGTTCAAGAATTGCGTACCCCTCACAGGCCTGGTGAGGCTGAAGAAAGGCTCGGAGGAGTAACACAGGCCACTGAAGCTCACCAAAGTGCCAGCTCGGATGCCTCCCTAAGCCTCCATGTTCCCTGGACACTAACACACAGAGCCGGAGCGGTAAATCACACCCAGATCCCATTTATTCACCAAAGGAGCCAAACTCCTCAAAGAAACCCTAACTTTGCAACTAGAAAGCCAGATTATTTCGTATTGACAACAGCAAGCTGAAGTCTCACTTGGCACTACAGTGTTGCTGGGGCTTTATTTTTGGCAGACAGAACATTACCAAATGAGGACTTTGCCAAACAGCCCCAACCGGGAGAATGCAGCCCCTCCCGCCTCACCAACATGTGCCTAAAGCTCAGGAGAGAAATGCCTGCATTGCCCCTGAAGAGGAAATGGAGCACAGCAACCACGTGCTACATCAAAAGCACGGTGGAAATCAGGAGTGGTGGGCATGCTCTAGGAGCGCTCGGATGCTCTGGTAGCTGCAGAAAGGGGTACTGCTAGTCAGCTCTGGAGGAAACCTCAACCTACCAGAAATTCTGCCAGAAAGGGGAGAAGAGAGCAGGATTGCAGAGGATGAGGAAGGCCCAGCTCAGACAAAAAGCCACATGTCTTTGGAGGCAAGGCAATACAACCTTACCAGGCTGCACTGAGCAAGACATGGGGGAAGTCTCCAAGCATCAAATCCCATCTATACACAAAGAAAGGCTCGTTCTCTTGCAAGAAATAAATGGCATGAGTTTCAACATTCTACTCGTGCAACGCTGCCCCTTTGTAACACAGCAAAGAGGCACACGTTTAGCTGGAAAAATTCATGGGGGTAGGTTATCCTCACTGCGCAGAAAGGGAGAAGTCACAAAGCCTGGGATTTCGGCTGATGGTTTAAAAGACCTGGGTAGATCCATCCAAGAGGGGAGCTGAAAGTCTGCACGCTGTTGTAAGCCCTGGGGAAAATCCAGAATTTGAATGACAGAGGTCTCAGCCCTGAACAGTCTGGAAAAGAGCTGAGGTTTGCCTACAGCACAGATGTATCAGTTGCTGTCTGCAAAAGGCCTGGCCTAAACGAAGAGCAATTGTTACTTACAGGGAGCAGGAGCTACCTCATGTAACCATTCTTGGATCTACAGCAGTCAATCAACATCTTACATTTTTAATTATGTCCATAGGTTTGGGAAAGCTTCTCAGAACTATATGCTATTAAGGAAGATGCAGGACTTTGATCCACCAAAAGACTACCATATCAGCTGCTCCACAGAAAACACTTGGGACAGGATCTTATTAGAATCAGTGTAAATAAATTCAAGAGCACTTGAGCCTCAATAAAAGGTGAAGTAGCAGGGTTAATTGCCTCCTTCACTATGGGATGCTAGTGAACCTAAAAAAGCTGTCCTTACGCCTTCTTCAGTCTAGAGGCTCACGCTCTTTGTGGAAGATATGAAGGTTTCAAATCCGTTGTTTCCCAAAGACCTTCCTTCCTCCCAGCCACCTTGGGGGAAGGAGGAGGCACCACACCATCGTCTCCTCCACTTACTGTGCTAGATGAATGACTCTCCTTGGGTTTGAAAAAAAGATTTACGTACCTACATACAATTCAGCGTTGGCACCTGGTTCTGGGGCTACAGAAAGGTGCCAGAATCTTGGAGAAAACTACGGCTTAAACACAAGCTTTTGCTTCAGCTTTGGTGGCTGGCGACCCTGTATGACAGGCAAAGCTTCTCTAAATGTTATGGGTTCCATTAAGAAGTCAGACATCTAAAAACTACATCTCCTATTACCTCTCCTGGGAAACCAATCCCAAGCTGTCTTGTGGAAGTTGGTCTTCTAAACCTTCAACCACAGAGGGCAGCTCTGGTTAGACACGTACCAGTTGTTACAGAGACGATCGATCTACTCCTGAAATGCTCTACATCAGAAGTATCAGAGGATAAAAAAAGGGAAGAAGTAACCCTATAGTAACACCTGACAGAGGAAAACAGAAAAGAAAAGCAGGGGGAAGGTGGAAGGAGGTAGGAAGAAGTTGCACATCATGCAAGACAAGGAGAAATGACACATATATGGTCTATTTAATGAGTGAATACAATATTGGAATGCTCCAAAATAAGCAGTATAGATTATTACTTGCTGCAAATATAAGTTACCTAGAGGCAGAAGTAACAGGGACAGCTAATAGAGGTCCAGCCTGGCTTTAGTCACCTCGCTGGAGAATGAGGGATGTGGAAACACCAAGGCAAAAGAGCCAACGGCGAGTGCTGATGCGGTGCTTGTCAGGGCAAAGGTCAGGCAAGGTCCTGTGTTTAAACACTTATCTGTTTGCCTTATGTGGAGCAAAGTAACTTCCCCCCTACATTTAAACTGCACTGATTAAGATAACTAGCTACTTGCAATTTCCCTTACCTTATAAAACTGCCTCTATCTTATCACCAATCTGCAGATAAGTCCTTTGGGACTGAAACTACCGAAGTGTTTTTCTCCAAATGCCTTGAGGTGCTTGCAGAAACTATTTCTATGCTTATGTATCTCAAGGTGGCTCCTCCTGATCACTGCTACTAAGTAAAATGGGAATGAATTTTTTTTTTTTGAGTTTTTTTGCTTTCTATTTGCTACAGTGTAACAGCAGATTTCACTTACCTTCTCCACGCTTTCTATCAACTTTCCCTCTACCTACACACAGGCTTCAGCCTGTCAAATAACAAAGAATTGCTAAAGCACTGTGGAGAGCATTGCTCTTTTGGGAGTGGGCTCCTGAACTTGCACAGTTCCCAGATCACCCGTGGACCCCAGCTATCCTGTATGGTAAGAGCCTGGGCCCCCACTCTTGGGGGGACAAAGGTTCACACAAGAGGAGGGGGGGTCCCAAGGGAGGGTGGGGAACCTTGGGCTGGGCTAAGGAGACCGGTCAGGATGGCCAGCAGCTCCCGGGGCTGCAGGGTGGGTGTGACTAGTTAAACCTTCTGGAGCTGCTGCGATGCTCCCGCAGCAGAGGGGCCGTGAGCCCCCCGCCGCCCCGGGGGAGGGGGCAGCACCTCCGTGCCCAGCCCCCCCCCTCACCTCCATCTCCCGCTGCTGGGCGGCGCGGAGGAGCGGCAGGTTGTGGGGTCTGCAGCACTGCTGGGCCTCCTTGTGCCGGTGGAAGAGCTCCTGCTTCAGCCCTGCCAGGGGAGACGGGTCAGGGGATGCTGCCACCACGTCCCCCCCCACCCCCCCCCCCCCCCCCAACCCCCCAGTGCCCCGGCCACCTGCACCCCGCCCCTCCCGGGGTCACACCTGTCCCGTCCCGTCCCCCTCCCTGCGGTGTCCCCATCACCCCAGGAATGCCACCTCCCCCACAGCGCCCCAAAAATACCCACCCCCCGCCCAGGGATCGCCCCCCCCGTACCGCCCCCCCGCATGCCCCCGGGGCCCCCCCGGACCGCGGTGCTCGCTGTGCAGCTGCAGGCGCTGGCTGTAGAGGTTCTTCTCGGTGAGGTGCTGGATCTCCAGCAGGCCCTGCACGATCTCGAAGACGGTCCCGTCCAGCAGCGCCAGCGCCAGGTCGCTCAGCGTCGTGTAGGAGAGGCGCTGCTGGCAGGGGCTGCCGGCACCGGGTCAGGGCCGGCCCCGCCACCGGCCCCGGCCCCGCCACCGGCCCCGGCGCCCTCCGCTCACCTGGGGAGCGCCTTCACCAGCGCCTGCAGCTCCGACAGCAGCCGGTAGTGCCGCTCCTGCTGCCGGGACAGCGGATCCGCCGCCCCGTACCCGCCCGCCCCGCCGCCGCCGCCGCCGAACCGCTCCATCGCCCCGCCGCTCTGCGCATGCGCGCACATGCGCACCCCGTCACCCCGCTGCACGGCCCCCACCGCCCCGCCCCGCCGAGCCTCCCAGCGCCCCGCCCACCGCTCTATCGCCCTGCCACAGCGCCCCGCCCACCGTCCCACCGCCCCGCCCACCGCCCTCTTGCCCCGCCAGAGCGCCCCGCTGCTCCGCCCCACCGCCCCGCCTTCTCCACCGCCCCACCCCGCCCCTCCGAGCCTCCCATCGCCCCGCCCCAAGCGCTATCGCCCCGCCCATGCCCCGTCGCCCCGCCCCTCCGAGCCTCCCAGCGCCCCGCCCCCAGTGCTATCGCCCCGCCCACGCCCCGTCGCCCCGCCCCCGAGCCTCCCATCGCCCCGCCCCCCCCCGCGCTATCGCCCCGCCCATGCCCCGTCGCCCCGCCCCCGAGCCTCCCATCGCCCCGCCCCCCCGCGCTATCGCCCCGCCCATGCCCCGTCGCCCCGCCCCTCCGAGCCTCTCGCCCCGGCCTGCGAGCGGCTCCCGCTGGGGCATCAACCGGCATCAACCGGCATCAACCGGCACCAACCGGCATCAACCGGCACCAACCGGCACCAGCCGGCGCTCCCGCCACCCCCGCAACACGTGGGCGAGGCAGCCGTGCCTCAGCTGCGCGAGGTGCGCGCACGGGGCCCCGGCGGTAGAGTTGTCCTGGCGGTGCCTCTCCAGCCCGTCCCACGGGATGCGCAGGCACAGCACCTCTGGGTGCCTCGCTGCTCAGGCTGCAAAGCAGTTTAAAATGTCTTAAATGGCTTTATCAAAAGCATTTCAGATGGGGTTTGGTAGCTTTTTTGAGTTACTTTGGCCGAAAATGCAGCGACCCGCAGCATCACCAGCAATCAGAGGAATTTCCCTCGCCGCATGCTTGGCTTCATGGTTTCATTCCAGCCCTGGAACCGGGGCCCATTCCCTAAGGACACCACACCAGAGCAAAGCCGGGCAACATTTGTGGCTTCACTGGGAAGCCCTGAGAAGGGTGAGACCACTCAGCTGCAAGGATCCCTTTGAATCCCTTAAAACACACGGAGTTTATTAAGCGCTTTTCAACTTCAAACACACCGCTGGGATGGCAATGGTTTCTTTTCGCGAGTGCTCGGGTGCAGGTAATGAGATCAATGTTTAGCGCAGGCCAAGTTGCAAATTCATTTCAATGGCACACATGAAAAGGCTCCTGGCTTGAATTAGCAAAATGAAAGATCCACTGAAATGTATTAAAAACGCCTTAAAAGTATTGGTTTTAATACGACTTCAAAGCCTGCAAAAGCTGCGCTGGCTGCTCGAAGGAAGTAGAAATAGGCTTGTTAGAGAAGGACACAGAGCATCCTCAGGCAAACAGAGCATCCCTAAAATATCCCTGTATATAAACTGCACACCCCCACCCCCCCTTTTTTTTTTTTTTTTTTTTTTCCAGTTGGTTTCCTCAGATTTCCACCCAAAGATCCCCAAACCCCACATGCTGGTGGGGCTTTGGGTGGGCTGACTGCAGATCCGGCTGCCTCCGGGCTGCTTCGACTGCTGCCTTGTAGGGTTAACCCTGCCGTGCCCGTCTGTCCTGCCCATCCTCTGCCTGCTCTTCCCCCAGCTTGGCAGCAATGTCCCCATGAAATGGCTGCCCCATATTTTGAACAGGCAAATCACCCCAGCCTCATCCTTGGGAACTGCCAAGAGCTTTTCGCTGCGCTGGAGCCCTTGCAGGCAGAGCAGTGGCACAGAGGCTGGGTGGCTGCGGCCTGCTGAGCTGCTGGGGAAGGGAAAAAAGGGTCTTTTAATTAAAAACCATTAGTTGTGCTGCTCGGCTCCAGCTGGGCTCGTATGAAAGACCAGGAAAAAAGCAACCCAAACACTTTGCCATCTTCCACCATGAAAATTTGACGGCAGCTTTTGCTAAATATCCTCCTCTGGGTGTCATCTGAAGCCAAGGATTTGCTGTCACAGGGTTTTTGCTGTCCCAGGGTATCTCCCCTGGCACTACAACCTGAAATCTCTTCAGCAGCCTGGGGTGCTCGGGTATGTTGGCCAAGAGTATACCTGGTACCAGCAGAAGGACCAGGCAAGCTGCCGGCCCCCGGCACGGCTGCCTGCACTGTTGAAGACCTAAATGCAACCTGCCTTGTCCCCTCCGAGCGTCACATTCCCATCGTCGTGGCAGGGGGCAGACCCTGCCTTGATCTTGCCACCTTCACTGCCTCATCAGTGCTTCTGCTCTCTTCTCAAGGCTGTTTTAAGGGGGAATTGAAGCCCGAGGGTGTCTGGGCATGAGGAGCATTGTCTTGATAGCAGACCCCGAGCGTCAGAGTCTTGACCTTGACCCCCGAGCAGCACCAGAGCGGAGGGGAGAGACCACGCGTGGGGCTTGGAGAGCTGGCATGGCCATGAGCCGTGCACAGCAGCCGTGGGGTGCCTGGGTACCCCTGCAAGCCGAAAGCAGGGCAGCCGGGCAGCCGAGGGGCTCAGCCCAGGGAAGAGGGGAGCACGTTCCCAGGGAAAATCTCCAGCAGTGCTGGCAAAGGAGCAAGGCGTGATCGGGTGCCTTTGCAGCCCTACCGAAGGCGTCACGACTGAGCTGGCGGCGGGAGGGAGGGAGGGGGGGAGGCCGGGGCCTCCGCTCCGCTGCGGACATTCCTCTCCCTTCCTTTGTGCTGCAGGAAATCTGCGCTTCCTCCCTTCCCAGCGCTGCTCCTCGCTCAATCGCTACCAGATGTGGGTCCCATGCGCTTCTCATTAGCCTGGCAGGCTCCGGGCGCTGCCTTCTGCAGGCTGGCGGGCTGGGCCCCGCAAAGGCCGGGCTTTTGGGGGGACCCCGGTGCAGATACCCGAGCGGGCATGCACGCCACGAGGTAGCTGGCGCTGGTTTGCAGGGGCCACGCGCTGCCTTCGCTGCTGGGCCGGGATGCTGGTGGCGGCGCAGGGCGAACTGGCTGCGGTGGATGGAGCTGGAGCTGGGGGGATAGGGCGCTCTGCTGGGACCTGCATGGGTGCCACGGGGACAGAGGTGACACGGGGCTTTGTGTTGAGGGAAGAAGCTCGCTGAACTGCAGCTGGGTCACCCGCTGGGGACAATCTGCAGCCCCAGGCTGCGTCTGGGAGCGTGGCGGACACGGGTGGGTGACACGCATGGGGACCTGGAGAGCACAGGTGACCCGAGTGTGTCCCATGCTCTGTATGCTCCGGGCGGTCCAGAGGGGAAGCACATAAATGATGTGTTGGAATGTGCACGAGGTTCCTGGGGTGTGGGCTCAGGTTGGGGTGCGGGAGTCCCTGACCAGGTGACAGTGCCTGCGGTGGTGCCACAAGCAGCTCAGGTGGCACAGCATGGCTGGGGGAAACACGGGCCCTTCCCAGGCTCCCCAGGATATGCCAGCACCCCGGAGGAGATCGTGGCAGCTGGATCCAAGGGCTTGAGACGCAGAAACAACCCTGCGGTTGGCTTGTGATGTCCAGGAAGAGTTTTAACCTGACCTGGACTGAGCTATGGAAGGACAAACAGAGTGAGAAAGCTCCTTCTGTCCTTCCTCACCCTGCCACCCTCACCGCGGAACTCCTCTGGGCGAGAGGGGCTGGGGAAGAGCCCAGTGGGAGCTGCACATGGTCCCACCACATCATCCTGCTCCAGCTGCCGCTGGCCCACATGCACGGAGGGAGGTGCCCCGCCAGGCAGGATGAGGTAACATTTGGGTGCTCATGGCCACGGGGGCTCTGCACTGTAAGAGTGGGATGCTCCTTGCCTCTGCACAGAAGAAGCTGGGGCCGATCCTGCCCTGCTGCTTCATCCTGAGCCCCCAAACCAACCACGGGGCTTTCCTCACACCGCTGGTACAGATCTGGGTGGTTCGAAGCAGGGGGACAAGCACACATCGTGGGATGGAGCCCGTGCTCCGGCATGGAACATGCAGGGACATCCAGAGGGCCAAAGGACTCTGTTGCCCACCGCAGCTGCTAGCCTCACCCCTGAGCAAAGTGTCCCCTGTGGGATTCAGGCTTCTTGTGCTCCTCTGCAGGGACAATCCCTCCCAGGACAGGAGAGATTTGCAAAGGTGCCCATTTAGGGAAGGGATGCCCGGATGTTACCTTCCCCCAAAGGGCACATTTGTGTGCTCAGAAATGCTGGAAAACAGCATTTTTATGGCCTTGCTGGACCCCGAGTTGAGCAGAGATGGCAGTTGGAAGCAGGGCGCCCACGTGCGTGGAGCAGGACAGCTTGTTTTTGCAACCGGAGCACATTGCAATTATGAATAATCCTCCAGGGAAACCCGAGCACAAACCCGTCCGCAGAAGACGGCTGCCCGAGCCTGGTGTCCCTGCGGGAGAGTCGCCACGTCACCACAGCTCTGAGTCACTGCTCCGGATTTGGGAGCTCCCCCTGCAGCTGCTCAGCCTTTGGTGAGCGTGGTTTCACCGGGCAGCCAGTTGTCGCTGAGAGAGGCCGATGCACCGTGGCTTTTGCACCAAATGTGGCTTTGTTGCTTTCACCACGGGGCCGGGGACAGGGCAGCATCAGGCGGGGCTCGGGCCAGGAGCACCCCATCAGCAGCTCCTCTCTCTGCAGCACGGCTACAGATTGGGTCCGGCTGGAGCTGGTGAGTCGACAGCAGCTCAGCCCAAGCCACGGGGCATTTGGGGATGGAGCCAGGGTGCTCCTGGAGCAGCAAACCCCCACCGAGTCCAGGTCTCGGAGTGGCTCCTCTCCTTGGGGATGGATCCTGCTCTTCTCACCAGGCTCAGTTTGGATGGTTTCCCTGAGTCTCCTCCAGCTCCTCCTTGGACACCGGGGAAGAGGATCCAGTGATACCTGTGAACTAAGATTATTAGAAAATAGATATTTGTGGAAGAGAATTATTAAGATCAATTTAAGCTGTTTTAACCATTTAACCATTGTGCTGCAGAATGAATACTGATCTTTTGAGGAATAGTTAGAATAACTGTAGGATGAAGGACTCATAATAATCTTACTTGAGACGGTTCAGCCTTGT